TGAGAAACTGCAAATGTAAATAAGGACCAAAACGTATACTAGATACTGTGAAACAGGAACAAATTGTTCAAAAGGAAAGGGGAACTGGTTGGGGGGGAAGGAAGGAATGGAAAAGAAAAAAAATGAGAAAAGAAGGATAAAATGGAAACAAAGTTTTGTAAATAAGGAGAGGAAGAGGTACTGAAGGGAGAGGAGAGGAAAGAGAAAAAATAAGAATCAAAGTACACCATGCACAGGTACAAATTCCCCACGATGAATGTGAACATTACGTATATATAAATTGCACTGCAAAAATTAATTTAAAAATTAATAAAATCTTTGATATAATGTATAAAGCAAAATGTCATATTCTAGAAAGAACCTCAACATGTAATTGATCATCAACTTGTTTGTTTGCAGACATGAACCACCTCTTCCTTCTTTCCCACCTGCTTTGTCTACAAGTGCAGAATCATACAAACTTGATTCTGGATCATAGTCAGATGATGGTATGTCCCACTATATGAAAGCCAGCATTTATTTTTTGGTACCAGGAATAGAACTCAGGACCTTGTGCTTGCAAGGCAGACGTGGTGCCATTGACATAAATCTCTGGCAGCATTCTTTTAATGTGACAAAACATGATATCAACAAATTAAAGAGGAAAAGGGTTATTTATTTACTCATTTATTTACTATTTAATTGGTATATATTTGTGATTCATATGTTCACAGGTGGGGCTTTTGGGAGGTTATGCCATCATCAGGGCACTATATTCATCTGTGGATTAATCCACCCACAGGTTCATAGGTAAATGAGCTGTCAGGCAGTGGAGCTTGGCTGGAGGTGGGTCATTGTAGGCCTGACCTGGAAGGATGTATTCCTGCCCCCAGCTCCTCCTTCCTCTCTCTGTCTGCTTCCTGACTGCCATGGGGTGGGAGCATTTCCTTCACCACACCCTTCTATCATGTTATTTCTGCCTGGGAGCCAGCCAACCATGGACTAAACCACTAAAACCAGGAGCCAAAATAAACCTCTCCTCCTTTAAGTTGTAGTTGTTGAGTATTGTGTTTCAGTGATGAGAGAGTGACTATCACTGTAATACATAATGACGGCAGTCATTTTGAGAAACTGGTTCACACACATATTTTGATTATGTTTGATACCATTTTCTCCTCCTCCCTCTCCTTTCCCAGTTCCCCTTTCCTATATCCAGCAAATCTTTCTCCCTATTTCCTATTATCTCTCCTTTTAAAAATCCTTTTTGTTTTTGTTTTTTGGTACTGGGGATTGAACTCAGGACCTTGCACTTGCGAGGCAGAAAATTCTTTATTTATATATTGAGTTTCTCATATAGGAGAAACCATGTGAAAATTAAACCTTTCTGAATCTGACTTATATCACTTAAGATTATGGTCTCAAGCTCCATACATTTTCCTATAAATGACTCAAATTTGTCCTTCTTAAAGACTCAATAATACTCCACTGTGTAAATACACCACATTTTCTTTACTCATGTGTCTGTTTTTGAGCATGGAGGCTGCTTTCACTGTTTGGCAGTTATGACCTGTGCTGTTATAAACATGGGTATGCATGAATAAATATACTATGATGCCTTTAACTTTTGGGGGAAAATACCCAGGAGCTATGTTAAAGGAAAGGTTTATTTTGGCTCATGGTTTCAGAGGTTTCAGTCCATGGTTCTACTGATTTCAGGTTTATGTTGAGCCAGAATATCATGGTGGAAGCAAGTGGTAGAGAACCACTGCTTACCTCATAGCATCCAGGAAGATGGAAGGCGAGAGGTGGGGAGAGGAGGGAGAGGAGAAAGAGGGAGAGAGAGGGAGAGAAAGAGAGGGAGAGATAGATTCCAGCTCTAGTGGCCAAAGTCATGACCCTCTCCCTTTAAGTAGGTTCCATCTCCTAAGTGTCTATCACCTCTTGATCTCATCAAACCCTTAATTCATTAAATTAGAGCCTTTAAGATCCACCTTTGTAGTGCATTGTGGACTAAGTGTTCAACACCTAAGTCTTTGGGTATCATTTCAGATCCAATCCATAATACACTATATTTCTATCCACATTTACCTGATTGAGATATTTACATAGATGGGGCTTCCACTTAAATTAACACCAGTAAATCAAAAGCCCTTTTTTTTGAGATCCGAAGAACTGTCCTAAAATGTTAAAGAGTATGTTATACAACTGAGCTCTTGTTCTGGTCTAGGCAATGCCCTGTACAGAATATGAGCTCTCTTTGGAAATAGGATATAGGATGCATTGCATGCCCTGTTAGATTCCAGTAAGTTTTGATGAGCAATGCAAAGTATGTATTTATTAACATATATTCATTGGAAAGTCTGCCTTTAGAAAAACACCGGCATCTAAAGTAGATATTAAAACGTGAAACCTTAGATTTTCCTGTAATCAGGGAAGCCAGTTTATATCATAGACCTCGATACAAAAGTGCTTAGTTGAGCATGGTGGTGCATCCCTGAAATCCCAGCACTCTGGGAGGCTGAGACAGGAGGTTTGCAAGTCTGAGTACTGTCCGGGCAACTTAGTGACTTCGCAAGATCCAGTCTCAAAATGAAAAGAAAAAAAAGTGTGATGGGAGGGAGTCAGGGATGTAGTTCTGTATGAAGTCCCTGCATTCATAGCAAGCATCACACACACAAAAGTCCTGACATTTTCTAATGTCAGGTGTACTTAGGGACTATACAATTATCTTCTTTGAAGATGTTATATTATTTGCTGAGTTAAGACCCACTTAACATTATGACAAAAAAAGTAACTCGAAGAATTTAAACTTAATGAGTAGCACCATCTCTAGCTGCTAATTTTGAGGATCTCCTTTATGGGAGGGCCATTATAGTTTTTCTTTTAAAAAACCTGATAAGTTGCTAGATGACAATGTTAACTTTATGAACACCTTGGTATATTTTAAGTACATAGCATTCTAATTGGAGAAGTTGGCATCTCCTAACTGGAAAAGCTCTGCTTAACGTAGTATGTGACACCGCTAAACATGGGTAGGTCACCAGTCCTTTAGACAAAACCTGTTTCCCCAAGAGATGTTGTGCATGACGTTCACTGGAGGAAGGACTCATGGCACAGAACAGTTGACGGTGCCAGCAAACTGGGGGCAGTCAGGGTCTTTGGAAGCTCAGCAGAAAGCCCCATGCTGTTGCCATAGACGATGGTGTTGAAAACACTACCCAAAGACGCTTGCGAACACTGGCTAAGGAAGACTTTGTCCAGGACCACTGTCAGTGGGGTCCTGTAGCAGGGCAGAGAGATGAGATAGAATTCTGAACAGAGTGAGAGGTGGGAACTGAAAGTCAAAGAGCAGGTGGGGGCCAGGGGCTGGAAAGTTCCTAGGAGCAGACCTCTGGGGAGGGAGGGAGTCCGGCTGAAGCAACCTAAGCGGATTCTTGCTGAAAACAAGGCAGTGACCAGAAGTCACCTGGGGAAGGTTGAGGGGGAAGAATGTGATGGGGTATTGGGGTGACCAGACATGACGGGGTGGAGCGTGGTCCGCTACTGGGGTGAGCAGAAGTCACTCTCTAACTCTGGTACTGTTTTCTTCTTGAATCCGCTTGCAAAGAGAAAAGAGAGTTCTCTGCACTAAAATTCCATCCTGAATAGTAGAGCAAGGCAATCGTTGATCAGTAAGGGCTCTGCCCTGGGCCCATTAGGACTCTGATGGGCCATGGAGGAAAAGGACAGTATGTTTTAATACTAAACACACGACACAGAAATGGGAAACCCATGAATGCACACTTGATGACCATGTTGGTACCAATGCCAGTATGGGCCACAAATTTCTACATTTGTATTTTGTTTCTTCTGTTTTTATTCTGATTGATTTTTGCAGTGCTGGGGATGGCGCTCAGTGCACTGTGAAGCTGAGGTGCATCCCCAGCCCTCCTTCTGACTGTAAAGTGAATGGAAACATTGTCGGGCGTCCACAAATGGTAATAACCTGGCTTTGTTCTATCCTCTAATTACGGAGGCTGGGGGCTATTTTCTTTTTAAAAATGTTTATTTTTATTAGCACACGTATGCAGCATGTAACAGCTGTATTTACCATGGGGAGCTGGTGCATACACATAGCACAACTTAATTCTTTTTAGTCCCCTGCCCCTTCTCCCTCCTGCCTCTTTCATCTCTTGAACCTCCATCCCATTTGCAAAAGATCTATCTCCTTGCTTCCTATTACCTATCTTTTATTTTGTTCTTTAAGTATTTTATACTTTGGTTTTAAGCTCGTGTGTCTGATTTTCTTCACTTAACATCACGGTCTTAAGGTGCATCCATTTTCCCACAAGTAACTCAGGTTTATCTTTGTTTATGGGAGAGCAGTACTCCATTGTGTGTAACGACCCCATTTGCTTTATCCAGTCATCATCTGTTGGTGAACAAATAAAGGCCACTTCCAAGACTTAGTTATTGTGAGTTATGCTGCTATGAACGTGGGTGCGCATGGATCCCTGTAATACAAACTTGTGAACTCTTTCAGCAAGATACCTAGGAGCGGAATAGCCAAGTCAAATGGAATTTCTAGTTTGAGTTTTTGAGGAGTCTCCACAGTGATTTCCATAGTAGTTCTTACTGTCCTTCGCGTGCTCCAGCCTTCGCCCTGAGCTAAGAAGGACGCGGTAACTTCCTATTCAACACTGCTTACATCTTGCTGGAAATGGGGTGAACATGCCGGATGTTAAGGAACTGAGTCACACGGGAAAGTGAATTTGGATGCAACATTTTTCATGGCTGATAAGTATTTTATTTAGCTTTGCATTAACATGCGATAAGGAATCTTTTTATTTGAGGCGATCATTTTGAAAGCAGCATTTTTGGGAAATGGGTCAAATACTATCCCTGTGTGTGATTCAATTATTTATTTTTTGTTTTCGCTCATTCTACATTGCATGTCCTTCGGGGACGTTTGAGACACTGGCCTCCTGTCTTCAATCTCCCCTTACATAAATATCTCAGTTGCAATCTCGTTTTTCCTACAGGGCCAACGACCTGCTAAAAACGATGCTGATGCCTGTATACACTTTACTGAGCTGTTTGCTTAACTTTTGAGATCGAGGTAATGCGAGGAATATGAATTTCTTTTTGAAGAACATGCTGAAAGCTTCAACATGCAGTAAGGTTTGAATATACAATTAGAGCAGTAATATAAATAGGATGCTCTGAAAAGATGTAGCCGTGCATTACAGCTCTGTAAAATTAGTACGACAAACAACAGCAATGCCTTCAAGATTTGTAGTTGCTTCTGGACCTTCTCCCCCCAAAAATCAAATTTCTTGTTATTTATTCCAAGCAAAACTTTCAGATGGTAAACGATGTGAAATCTATGGCCATTACAAATGAAAATGATTTTGAAATGCCCTGAAATTTAATAGTGATCTCACATATTTTGAGGCACTTTTAAGCTCAGTCAGTTCCTATGCAGACAAAGGTATATTTTGTGTTTCATATCCTGTTGACATGTCATACATTAAATAACTAATTCCATACCCAGAAGGGCATTAGCATCATCTATAAAAGTGCTTCTTTTCCACTGAGTCCCGTGACACACACCACCACACCCTTCAGTGTGTTGTACAAGTCCATTTGCATTGATTTCTTCAGTAGATAATGTCATCCTAAAGTCTGAGTTTAGAAGTCACAGATTTCCTTGATGCTTTCAGGAATAATCTCCACACCTCACACCAACATTATCATTCACTCTCGGGGAAGGACACTTCCTAAAACAAAATAACAGATTTTGCATAATTTCCAGGGTAAGGAATTCATGTTAGTAGGAAGAATCCTGTTTATGTTCTGGTGTTAGAAATTCCAGGGGCAGGATGGTGTGGGAATCACTTCTTCTTCTCCTTCTTTTTTCTCCCCAGAAAACGCAAGCCAAAATTAAATAGAAGAGCTACAAGAAATGCTGGGGAAATGCTGGGGAATTCTGGGGGCTTGTTTGTAGAGGAAACACAGGACTTTGGGGTCAACTTTCAGAAAGCCCAAGATAGACATCAATATGTCTCCAAACAGCCACAAGACCTCTAAGAATCCCATTCACCTGAGCGATCTTAGGGTGATCTGTGCTGGACAAACAAAGCACGCCCAGCCCCCCCAAATTATGGAGAGTTGGTAATCAGGTGCACTTTGGGTTTCTCCATTTACCCATAAAGGCATCTAACTTGGTGGGAGGATGTGCTGCATGGGAAGGAACTGAGCACATTTCCAATTTCAAGGAATCGTTCCCTAAGACCGACTTGGAAACGTATCACCACCTCCTGTGTGACCCGGTTATGATTTTTCCAGAAGTATTGAGGTTTGGGGAAAGTGGAATTAAAAACAGTATCACATATCTTATGTGTGTGATCGAATCTCACAGTTGATCAGGAACTCATGTTCTTCAATCACAAGATTAAAAACAAAAAGGACAGAAAAGGTACCAACATTACTACTGATTCCTCCTCACTAGTTCTTGCCTTGAAATCAACATAATCTCTTTTACGTGCATAAATCATGGGCTACACACCTTGCCGACCCCAGGTAACATATACTTCCCATGGTAGTGATTCTGCATTACGTTCCAAGAGATTCCTGGGGATGTAGCCGCACCCCACCCCTACCCCTAGTTTCACTCACCAAACAGCAAAACGGAAAAGTGGAATATATACTGCTGCTGCTGGACTGGAAATCAGTTCGGGAGAGCTGTCTTGGGCTTATTTTTGTTGAAAGATCTGGCAATAGATTCACTGCTCAAATTTCTTTGGGAGCTTTTATTGCTTTTATTTACATAGTGATAAACACCTATATTCCCCACACAACTTCTCAAGGAAAGAAACTATACATCTATGTATCCACGTATCTTTTTAGCTATCTATATGGTGGAAAGTGTTTAATATATACGACATATGCTGTCATAACAATAATACTGAGTTGGCTTCCTGTAAACAAATAGGAATGTACTGTCCTCTCTGATCAGGAAAGAGGACGACCCTTCATTTGTTATAAAGCTGAATATGTTAACATCTACTGAAGTCTTTAAAGTGTGGTGGTCCTCTTGCCACTGTGCCAGGTAGCCCTGGAGGTGACTGGAAGAGATCACATAAATGATGCCTGATCCCAATAGCTGGAGGGTGAGTGGTCCACCCAGTCCACCGGTGTCAGGAGTGAGTGTCCCATGCATCCTACAACGTCAAGTCCAAAGTCCTTGGCCATGGAAGACATGAGTTTGTTATGTTCTACTGCAGACCCTGCAAGAAAGCCCTAACCTTCCCCAGCTCGGTAACCACAGATATTTCCCTCATGACTTCTGGGGACAGGACAGAGAATCGGTACTCATCCCAGGCGGCAAGAGAAGACAGACCCTTTGCGATGAAGATGGTGGATTCAGCCACATGCATCTGGCCGGCCTCCAGACACAGAAGGGCTCACAGCTACTTGCTCAAAATCTGACCCCGTTTTTCTCTGTCACACTGACAAGACAGGGAAGACAAGGCTGAGGGACAGCACAGCTGCAGCCACGGTTTCCAAAACATGTTCCATGGAGACAGCTGGTTGGGGACCTCCAGCAGGCTCCTGGTGTGGTTGTCAGCCGCTTCCTGTATGATTCTGAGGATGTCGTGGAAACGTGGCTCTGTTGCTGGAGTCAACGGGTTTGTCTCACGTGGATCTCTGGAAATGTCGAACAGCAGAGGCGGGTCATGATGGGTGATGAAACTCCCGAAACAGAAACACACGTGAGTGTGAAAGCATCCATTGGCACTCTCAGGGTTGAAATTGGGTGTGAAGTAGAAGGCTTTCCAGATTGACTTGCCTGTGATCCAAAACACAGAAAGAGTATTACGGGAAAGCAGCCTTAGGCTGTGGGCTGAAAACGTACACTGATGTTTAAATTAAAACGCGACTCATTTCAGTACAAGAAACTCACCTTGAAATCCTCCCCCTTTCTTCAGACACACTCATCCCATCATCCTTGCTAATTTCTCTAGCAGTTCTGAAGCCCTCTTTCACGAGGGTCTTTGCAAAGTATGATTCGAAACACAGTGGCTGCTCCTGCCGAGCGCCATCCAACAGAAAAGCAGACTTGTGAAAACATGAGGCTGTGCCTTCATCCACCTTATTCACCGGATCCAGCTGCAGTCACTTCTGGCCCTTCCCAGAGTCAAAGTAATTACAAAATGCCAATGCTTTGAATGAGTTCAGGACACCGCGGCAGCCATAACTGCCCAACTAAAGACACTCGGGAAAAAGACTTCCAGACCTGCTTCAGAAAGTGGCTAGGTTGATGAGGTAAGTGTATTCAAAGCAAGGAGAAGCATTTTGAGGGCAATTAATGACAACATGTCTCTTACTGTGGTAATGTTTTAAATGTAAACATGAACTGTAAGCTCTGATCACACTCCATACACCAAGGACAAGTGAAAAGTGCTTCTGTGTGTTCGCCTTTTAAGGAGGCGAACGCTTACTGTCCAACTGTGGATGGAAAATAAACCCTTCTCAGTCACCCCTACGGCTCAAAGAGGTGAGCGGCACAATGTAAAATCAATGCATTGTAGGTCAAAAGTCCCTCACCTGCAAATCCCAAATCAAAAATGCTCTCAGCCCCAAACCCTCAAGTATTGACATGAATAATCCCCCCAGCAATCGAAAAGGAAACACACTAAACACATGCTCTAAACCGACCGTCAGGCTGGGCCCAGAATGTTTACAGGAACCAAGTGAATTTCCGGTTCACAGTGGTATCCCACTGCCCAGGACATCTCACGATGTGTATGCCAATACCACATCCCCAGATCCCAAACAATATGAAAGCAAAACACTTGTGTGCCCAGGCATTTCAGAGGAGGGGCACATGGTCTGTAGCTATCTAATCACCAGCAGGAGCAAAGGGATGCTAAGAAACAAATTAAGCAGTGGTTGCTATGAGGCAAAGCTGAACACACAAACAACAGCATTTTCTTTTCATCTGGAGAATTTCTTCCCTCTCTCTCTCTCTCTCTCTCTCTCTCATCTACTATTCCCCCCCAGCCAGTCTCTCTCTGATCTATTTCCCTCCCTTTTTTCCCAACCCCTCTGTGATCAGGCAATGGAAAGCTGACAAATGAAGGAGAAATGAATTCTCTCAGGACAGCTCTCCCCCAGGCTGGCCTGTCTCCTAGCATAAAGTTTGTGGCTTGAGTTAGGAAAGCTGATGCTCAATGAATACCAACCGATGGGCATATTGGAAATACCTGGCTCTGCCATCACTTGCCAGCCGATCTCCCTTTGAGTTTGCCACCTATATTTCTGTTTAAAACAAAAGGTAAGAAAGAGGCAGACGCAAAGCCCACACACACCGGAAATGGGATAAAGCCATGCACACAGGCGTGCACGCACACGCAAACACAGCCATCACAAGCCATCCCGCACATGTTAGGGCCTCAGGTGAAACTGTTGTTTGAACATCTGAAAAAGTTCAAGTGCGTCCAATCCAGAATTAAATGAGGCTGGGGGGTGGGGGGTGGGATTCCAAACAGGTCACAGAATGGATCTTGCTGGGGTGCAGAAAATGGCTAAAATTAGATGGTGGCTAGGGCTGCACAGCTCGATAAACGTCTCAGAATTGGAACTTTACAGCATGTAAATTCAACCTTCATAGAGCTGTCAGAAGCTCCAAATTAGGTGAATTCATCAACACCTGAGGAGCACGGTTAGTTTGTAAAATTAAGTTCTGTCTTCCATGAAACCCCTCTCAACACTGAAATTTCTTAGGAAAAGTAATCCACATACAAAGAAATTAGTCTGAAGCAATGGGTGCATTTCCTATTTGCTGGACAAAGGTACGACTTTCTGAAAAGCCTGTCATCCCAGCACTATGGGAGGCTGAGGCAGGAGGATCACAAGTTCCAGCCCAGCGTGGGCAACTCGGGGACTTACAGAGATTTTGCCTTAAAATAATTATACAAAAGGACTGGGATGTAGCTCAGTGCAAAAGCCCTGGGTTCAACTCCAAGTACAGAAAGAAAAAAGAAAGAAAGAAAGAAAGAAAGAAAGAAAGAAAGAAAGAAAGAAAGAAAGAAACGAAGGAAGGAAGGAAGGAAGGAAAGAAAGAGAGGTGACTAAGAGAGTCCACAGCGCTAGAAAGAGGTACAGAATGTGAGCACCCTTCTCCTGACCCTGTGGCTTCCCCCGAAATCCAAGCCACCTCCCCCAGGGGCAGCACCTGCACCTATTTAAGGCCTCCTGACTCTTTCCCCATGAAACAGCAGGGGTGCCTGCTGCAAACTGCAGCTCTCCTGTGAGGACTGGATGCAGACAACAGACAGGCACAGACTCCACAGAGAGCTGGCTGCTGGCCTGTGCATGGTGCTCCTGCAGCCCCTGATGCCCTTCTGCCTTGTGCACAGGGACAGTGAGGCCCCCGTGTGGGGTGCAGTTTTACTTTGGGCGAGAGGCTGGGAACCGGGCTGAGCAAGCAGCGTTTGGCCTGCAGTGGATGCGTATATGAGAGGATGCTCCTGATGAGACTTGGGCAGTCTGGGCAGAGGGACAGGGCATCTAGGTCACTGTAGAAGCGGTCAGGGCCTCGGTCACTCCCAGAAAAGGTCAGGGCGACACCAGACACAGGGCCGCAGCAGCAAGACCCTGCCACCGCTTCCAACAGACTTGAAAATGGCAGTCAGTAACCGTCAGCATCTCTGCGCAAGGGACAACAGTGTGTGTCATCCTGCTTGCTCTCTGGGGACAAGAAAGTTCCTTCAGAAGCCACGTGGTGACTCGCTGATCCAGCCCGGTGTCTGCAGCCACTGAGAAGCGGGTCTTGGGGTCGGAGAGACACGGAAGACATTCTTCCTCCTGCCCCAAGAGCTCGGGATGCAGAGGGTGGTGTGAACCTGACATTCAAGTCAAACCCAAGCATGCTATGAGCCCCTGGGAGCCCAGGAAGCAGGAACAGAGGCCCTGTGACAGCCTGAAGTTCCCACTTGCTCTTGAGGGCTGTGCACAAGGACCCTGCAGTCACCGGGTATGGGCAACCCCGGCCAGACATGAGCACCCACATGACACGGAGTGAAGGCTGGTAGAGAGCCAGCAGGTCCCTCTGGGGACACACCGGCGGGGACACAGCTGAGGGACACGGCAAGTGTCGGGGGATCATGACACAGATTCATCTGCCTGACAGATGGGAAGGGGAGAGCGAGGCGGAGGGGAGAGAGGAAGAGAGTGATATAGAGAAATAGGGGGAAAGAGATGCAGGGAGAGAGACAGAGATGGGGAGGGAGGGAGACTAAGAAAGACGGCGATGGAGAGAAAAAGGGAAGGAGGAAGAGAGAGAGAGAGAGAGATGGACGGAGAAGAAGAGAGGTGAGAGGGGAAGGGAGATGAAGAGAGAGGCACTGAGGGAGAGATGGGAGAGTGGGAGAGACAGAGAGAGAGAGGGAGAAGGAGCGAGAGAAGAAGGGAGCGAAGAGACAGAGATGAAGACAAAGGGGTGGGGGGCAGAGAGGCAGAGAGACAGGGAGGAAGGGAAGCAGAGGCAGAGACACGGAGAGGGGGTGGGAGACAGCGGCTGGCAGGGCGGGAGGTGGAGACAGCAAGACGACAGCGGGAGGGGGCAGGGCCCAGAGACGCAGAGAGACACAAGGGACAGGCGGACAGAGACACAGAGAGAGGCACAGGTCTGGAGGCAGTGAGGTACAGACAGACAGAGGAAGCAACAACGAGAGAGACGGACAGAGACACGGAGACAGGGAGAGAGACGGGGAGAGAGACAGAGAGCGGAGGGCAGGGCTGAGACCAAGGCCCTGCCCCGCTGGGCTCTTCCCTGGGGAAGACTCTCATGCCTGCCTCAGCAAAGCCAGTCTGCCCCAGAGCAGGCACTGGCTCGCTCCCAGTTACCATTCTGGGGGTTCTGCAGCTGGACTGGCCTCCCCTTCCCTGCTGAGTCCTGAAGGGCACCACGCTTTGGTGACTTGCTCCCTTCAGCGGTCCCTTTCAATTCTCAGTGCCCGGGTTTAGGTTCGAAGCCCAGCTCTGCCACTTCCTGGCTGCGAGTGTTATTTCTCTGCGGGTGACAGCGCCCTTCCTCCTTTGGGGCAAGTTCACGGGGGTGAGGGGCATACGGGAGAGGTGACTTGGGAGTTACGGGGACATGGAGCTGCTGGCGACGAGAGCAGGAACATAGGGGCTTCCATCTGCTCCTAGGTCTGCTGCCGCTGGAAGACATGTCTTTGGATATATATTTAGTCATGCTGTCTTGGAGCTCTTGCATTTCCATTTCAGATGCCATCCTCTGACCACTGGGAGAAACCCACATGCAGGGACCCTATGGCCGCCTCCACCCTATCATGACTTACTTTCTCCTGCCTCAAAAATCTCACTGCCTTTCCCCATCTGCAGACAGACACCCCAAAGCAACAACCCAGAGGGCACCCAGAACTGCCCAAGATCACCAGGGTCTTCTCACTCAGGGCGCAGAAAGGATCCCAAAATGCTGTGTGTGCCTGAGTCTTCCACCCTCCCCAGGAGCTCGCTCCTGCTTGTTAATGACATCTCTGTCATCTAACGAGTCAGCTCAGGGCTAACGTGTCATAGATCCAGCTCCACCACCTTCTTGTGGCTGGCTGCACCAGAAATCATGACCCAAGACACTGAAGGATGAATACCCAGCTCCAGGCTAGGGCTAAGAGCATTTTGTTCAAAGCCGGGCAGGTGTGGGAGCAATCCAAGCTCCCCTAAGTATTGCTGGAGGGTCCAAGCACAAAATACTGCCTTCCACTAAACCCTGGCTTTGCATACGGAAAGACAGAGCTACATAACTCAGTAAAAAGTGCGTGT